TCGGTTTCCTGTATAAGGCAATTTTTATCTTTTTTTATTATCACAGTTGCTGTGCCCAGACCCAAAAGCTCAAGAGGCTGAACATTAATGACGAACTCGGTGTATTGTTTTTTTAATACCACCGCGTGAATTCTTTATTTTTACATTGGTGGTTTAGGCAGCTAATCTCCCTTGTCAGATACTGAGCCAACACGTTAAACATCCTGGGTTCAGCGAACAGAGATGGTTGTGGCTGAGCCAACAATAGTCGCATGGCTCGTGAAGGATTGGAACAATATCCAAGCCTTACTCGAATGGCCCAAGAACATTCCTGAGCTGTCAACCATTCTCGCTGGTGGTTGTAGCCAATGCAGATATAAGACTGGAACAAAACATTTCACCAGAGACGCAGAGAAAGGTTCAGCCTCCTACACAGCTACAGAACTCTAGTATGCAAGTGAAAGTGTCAGTTCGTCGGTATTGTCCCTTTGGCGTCTCATGCTGGGGCTCTGTTCTGTCAGGATGTGTCTCTCTCTTCTGCTCCTGAGGAAGCTTCGGGTGATGGAATAGGGCTATTCAGTGTAAGCGATTGTAGCACACAGTTGGAAATAAGAAAATAACTTAGCTAAAGCAAAAAAAATGTGTGCGCGTGGTGCACTCACATACGCACACACTCCCCATACGCACACACTCACATACACACGCACGACAGATGCGGTCGTGCAGGCTCTTGTGCAGCGCACAGGTGGAGTGGTGTGACGCACACGTGGAGTGGTGTGACGCACACGTGCGGTGCGACACACATGCGGTGCGATGCACGCGTGGAGCAGTGCGAAGCACGCGTGTTCAGTGCGACGCGCACGTGGGGTGTTGTGACGCACGCGTGCGGTGCGACACACATGCGGTGCGATGCACGCGTGGGGTGTTGTGACGCACGCGTGCAGTGCGACGCACGCGTGGGGCGAGGAGAGGTGGGCGAGCGGCGCGACGGGGGCTCTGGGATAATGTAGCCTGCTGTGCCACTGTCACAGCAGGACCCGTCTGCTCGAGGAGCCGCGTTCCCATGGAAACGGGGGACCGCTGTTGCCGCGGAGAAGTGAGGCGCGGACACATTTTCCGAGCGAGCCCTTTCACACTCGGTGAAAATGACCATGCGCCGAAGTTTTGTTTTGTTTTTGCGGCGCACGAGCCGCTACGCACGCCACACTTGTGCGGGCGCTCCCCCGCCTCGCGCGTGCTTTCTGCCCCGAACATCTCGCCGTCTTCGCGCGTGCAGGCGCCCGGTCGCTTTTCGTTCCGGCGAGCGGCGCCAGCTTTCGGCGCAAGCGGTTTGCTGTGAATCGGGGTTTGGCGAGCGCGGGCCGCGACAGCGGGCAGAACGGGTCCGGCGTACACAGTGCCACTGTCGATGAGCACGGTTGGCTACCGTACGGTGCGAATTTAGTTCAGCATACATCATCGTCGTCGTCGTCGTCGTCATCGTCAGCAGCTCCAGCAAAGAGCGGCGCAGTCTTCACCGCCGTCAGTGCCATTGCCATCATGATCGTTAACAGCAGTCCAGAGATCAGGATTAAAAGCATTGCCAACGTCAGTGGCTGGACACTAGTTGACAAGGTTAAGGCAAAAAAACAACAAACAGGGGTTACATAAAATAGGCGTTTATTGCTGTGACTGAAAATTGCCTATCATGGGGAATGCTGTATATCAACGCGATTGTCCACTTATTCGAGGATTGTGTGTAATTTATTCCATTAGCCATGCGTTCGCCGTGGTCGAGGAGCCTCGGCGGTTGGCAAAGTTGTGCATGGCGACGGCAAAAAACCGTGTGCAAAGTCTGAATTTAAAACCCCTGTGCCGCGTTGCAGACACGTGATCGGTGCAATGCACTTGGGCAGTTAAGAAAGCAAAAGTTAAAGGCTTTCCCTTCATACGGAGAGATCGCATGGTCGGTTTTTTTTTTGCAAGCGTAAGCCATTTTTACGTCATCGCATCTCGATGTCAAGTGCCCTCACTCAAAAAAGCAATCGGGGGCATTCCGGGACAGACTAAAGGCCAAAAGGAAATCTCCGCGGAGACGTTGAATGTCTGGAAATAATGACTCTGTGGCAAAAAAAAAAAATACTCGACGACGAACCCGCCAAACATCCGTGGCAGAACGTGCCCGAAAAATAAATCGGGTAGCACGGCGGGGATTATTCCGGATAAATAAAAGGCCTCGTTAGAAATCAATTGAAATTTAGACCGGAAGTCGGCGCCATTCGTTGCGGCTTGAAAACAAGTGCCACGCACGATGCTGCCGAGTAAGTCTCCATCGCAGAGCCGATGAGATTCCCAACAAAGGAGACCCATTGACGGTTAACCACCAAGGCCAGCTCGGAATTAGACTCGGGCGCAGATCAATTGATGGATGTTTGGGAAAATTGGATGGAAATTTGCCTCGTGTGAGACCTATCTCTGGGCCGGCGACCTCCCGGAGATCGTGGGGGGGTTTTAAGCAGCGGGGCAGACACCGGGCAGTGTTAAATCTCCAAGAAATAAATGACCAACATGAATTTTGTGTGGGCCCCCCATGCCCCCACCCCCCTCCCCACACCCTCCCCCCGCTCCTGACCCCGAGGGACAGAACTGACTGAATTCATGTGTGGGAATTGAAGTGTATTACTGAGATGTTACCTGAAAGAAATGTTTTAATATAGACGACGCCGCATTGTGTACGTTACCTGGTTTAAAGCCATACTTCTAACTTCTCTGGTTGTTACATTGGCATGCTTGACACGGCGGTGCTGATGATATTATAATCAAAAACCCTTATTTAAGAGCGGGCTATAGCTCGCGTGGATGTTATATTGGACGGCGACGGTATATTGGAAATGTTAGTATTGATTAAAACTCTGTGCGGCTGGCTCTGTCTAAAATTTACATCACGGCGAGCTACTGAGCGCGTGAGCACATTCCAAAAATCAGGGCGGTACGTCAAATGTTTTTTTTGCTTTCGTAGCCAAGCTGGGACATTAACGCCTACTGCCACCTAATTAGATCCTGTATCACACACAAGCACGCACACACAAGAACAGACAAAGATTCCCTGTATAGCCTGTAACAGACTGTTGGGGCAAGTGCTGTTAGCGAGCACCTATAAAGGCCGGCACAGCACATGATGATGTAAATATCATCACTGTGGCTCCAGTGATGATGATGTTTACACGATGCACTAAGTACTTTGTTCATGGCTGAGTTGACATAGGGGAGGCCCAGAGCAGGTTCAGATATTCGTCACTGATTTATTTCCAGGAATTTCGTGGCCAGATATCGAACTCAGGTTTGCGGATTTGTAGAGCAGTACACTAACCACTGCACCGCGGCTCCACAAACACGCACACTTCATGCACATTAACTCACGCGCACGTAGACATGTAAACAACCGCTCAGATATAGAGCATCATGTGAACACGTGAACGCATGCGAGCGAACATCTATTGGCAGATGTTAACAAGCGCGAGCATCTATTCCATCGTGATGCACGTGGGATGGATTGGTCACAGAAGCATTCTGGATGGTGCAGAAAATAAACATCTTTTTCACCTGCAATCTGTCATGGGAAACTGTAGATGCTTTATATTTTTTTTCCCTTACTCTAGTCAGTGAAGAGTAATTTTTAGCTTCTCGTGCATAAATTATTGAGCAAAAAAACACGGGTTTTTTTTCTTTAATGCGATTTTGAGAGGCAAAGGACACCCCGCCCTCCATGAATTTTTTTCATTTACAATAGCAGTCATATATATCTAATAGGAGCCCACTACAGTAGACACAATGCATGAAAGGGGTTTAAAAGTTGAAACAAACGTCCAGATAGGCAGATAGGTAATCCAGACGGTGGACGCAGATCCCTTTCGGAGCATTCAAGGTTTTTTTTCAGCCGGGTGCCCTGAGTGTCTTCCTCAAGCTTTTAAGCCTGCGAGAACGGTCCATAAACACGTAATAAACGAGTGAGATGCATCCACATGAACGCACATCAGTGAACTAAGCATTCACAGAAATATTTAACACTCATTAAAGGTAATTGTTCACAGAAACAACAAGCAGATTAACGTCCATCTGTTTCCTTGCTTACGCGTTCCCAACAAGGTCCAATGCTCGTTGTGTGCTCACGGTGTTTAATAATACAAAATGATCGTAAGATTGTATGTTATTTATTGAACTTCTTCAATCCCGCAACGTTATCGTGGCTGCGGGAGAGACTTGCACGAGGCTGAGCCCCTCCACCTGTTTTGGTTTCGCGCGGGAGCTGTCTGTCATCGCTCGTACTTGCACGCCTCCGTGACACAGGCCGGCGGAAAAGATTGGCCGAAGAGTGAGAAAGCTCCATCGCGCTCGCACGCGCGAGGCGTCGCCGACACGAAGGGGACACGTCTACATTATTCTAATCCGCCCACTGACCCAGGTCGCTGGCAGCATTTGCAAGACCTCTAATCTTGCCCTATTTGCGGGCTGGAATTCCTTTTTATTTACTGCCGCTTGGTGCGCTCGTCACTGAAACCCCATCACCATTGCGACCGGTGCAGTTCCGCCCGCTTAGCTCAACCGTTGAGGCTTTTCCACCTAAATCTTGGCAGGTCCACCGTGCAAATCGGTGCCCGGTAGAGAGCGCGCGGGTGGTGGGAGGGCTGAAGCGGGAGCATTGGAGGTGAATGAAAAGTCTCCGGATTTTCCGCCGCTTTATGTTGCGTAGCGCATCGCCCACCGCCCGTCGTGCTTCCTCGACTCGAGCTTGCGAGAATTCCATTGCGTGTGATGGCAAATGCCCGCACACACACACACACACACGTGGAAATGTTGTCTACCGTTAGGGTAACCAGATGCCTTCTTGCAATTGAAAAACGACAGATTTGCTTCGTCACTTGGATGTGCATGAGTTGGGGGTGTCAGCAAAGTGAAGCCCGTGCATGTGTTACGTGTCCTTTGCGGGACTGCGCGCGATAGTGAATTTGTGTTGATATTCCTGGCTTGTGTTGTTGTTGCAGGGCATCCTGGACGTGCTGGTTATGGGAGGAGACCTGTCTCTCTACGCGCTGCACAATTCCTTTGAATCTGATGCATATTTTGTGAAAGTCATCGGTGAGTCAAATTTCATTGTTGTTGCTTATACGTCTTTCATTGCTTGTCTCTGTTTCTCTGATTCTCTGTCGCCCTGTCTGCCAGTCTGAATATGCTCCTCTCCTGTCTCTCTTTCTGTGTGTTCATCAATGCCCGTGTGTCTTTTTATTCCTACGTTTTCAAAGGGGACGCTTGCTTGAGGCTCTCTTTCTTGCTCACATGCGCGCGCACATGCACACGCACACAGCCAAAGGATTGTCAAATGAGTGGGTTGAATGGAAGGCAGTGACGTTAATGGCAGAGCCGGATGGCTCATTAACAGTAACAACCGCGATGGGTTGGCGTGGTGACCCAGAAAACAAGGAGTGGAGATTTTGCTTGCGTGCTGCGGCTGTGGGCAGCTATGGCATTTGCGGCGATTGTTCGTAGGCGCCACGGTCGCGAGACGTGACCTACCTCGCCTGGTATACAGGAGGTCATGGGTTCGATCCCGACCCTGACGCCTGTTGTATATTTGGAGTTTGCATTATCTTGCTCTCTCCCAATGGTCGCATGGATTTTTCTCCTGGTCCTCTGGTTTTTCCCTCCACATTTACAATCAACGTCACGTGCTTAGACAATTTGGCTGCTATACGTTTCCACACGATGGTAAGCCACTTCGTTGAGCTATCATTTGTGGCCAGGTTTTTCTCTGAATAAGAGCGACATAGCTCAGTGTGCCTTAGCAGGTAAAAGCAAAGTTTTAAATAGTTTAAATGTAAGGGGACCATGGTAATGGGATTCAAGGAAACTCAACTAAAAGCGATATATATTTTTATTTTATCAGGTAAGTGCCGCGGAGCAGTGTTTCAGAGTTGACCTGGCCACACATCGTAGTAGATAATTCAAGCGGCTTATCATACGTGGGAATTTATAGTGGCACCCAAATACTGTAATCTAAACGCATGTTTCCAAACGTGTTGGGGGGGGGGGAAACGGGAGGAGCTCGAGGAAAGATCCGCGCAACCACCACGGTGAGAGATCAGTCAAAACTCCAAATATACAGGCATCATCAGGGTCGGGATCGAACCCACGTCCTCCTCCGACGCATCAGGCTAGGGAGACAACATCTCGCCTCAGCGGCGCCCGAGAGTGCGGGCACGGAGTGAAGCTGGCAGCACTAGGTGATGTCCCGGCGAGCGGGGTGCCAAAGATCCGAAGGGTTTGCGACTCTTGTGTTGTCGCCTCTGGAACCCTCCTCCCTCCCTCCATCCCCTCCTCCCCTCCCCTCCTTCCCTCCCTCCCTCCCCTCCCCTCCCTCCCTCCCCTCCTCCCCTCCCTCCCTCCCCTCCTCCCCTCCCTCCCTCCCCTCCTCCCCTCCCTCCCCTCCCCTCCCTCCCTCCCTCCCTCCCTCCCTCCCCTCCCCTCCCCTCCCTCCCCTCCCTCCCTCCCCTCCTCCCTCCCCTCCCTCCCCTCCTCCCCTCCCTCCCTCCCTCCCTCCCCTCCTCCCCTCCCTCCCTCCCCTCCTCCCCTCTCTCCCTCCCTCCTCCCTCCTCCCCTCCTTTCCCTCCCTCCCCTCCTCCCCTCCCCTCCTCCCCTCCCCTCCCTCCGCTCCTCCCCTCCCCTCCCTCCCCTCCCTCCCCTCCTCCCCTCCCTCCCCTCCTCCCCTCCCTCCCTCCCCTCCTCCCCTCCCTCCCCTCCTCCCCTCCCTCCCCTCCTCCCCTCCCTCCCCTCCCTCCCCTCCTCCCTCCCTCCCCTCCTCCCCTCCCTCCCTCCCCTCCTCCCCTCCTCCCTCCCCTCCTCCCCTCCTCCCTCCCCTCCTCCCCTCCTCCCTCCCCTCCTCCCTCCCTCCCCTCCTCCCTCCCCTCCTCCCCTCCCTCCCTCCCTCCCCTCCTCCCCTCCTCCCTCCCTCCCTCCTCCTCCCTCCCCTCTCTCCCCTCCCTCCCTCCCTCCCCTCCCTCCCCTCCCTCCCTCCCTTCCCTCCCTCCCCTCCCTCCCCTCTTCCCCTCCCTCCTTCCCCTCTTCCCCTCCCTCCTTCCCCTCCCTCCCTCCCTCCCCTCCCTCCCTCCCTCCCTCCCCTCCCCTCCCTCCCCTCTTCCCTCCCTCCCCTCCTCCCCTCCCTCCCTCCCCTCCTCCCCTCCCTCCCCTCCTCCCCTCCCTCCCCTCCTCCCCTCCCTCCCTCCCCCCTCCCTCCCTCCCTCCCCTCCTCCACTCCCTCCCCTCCCTCCCTCCCCTCCTCCCCTCCTCCCCTCTCTCCCTCCCCTCCTCCCCTCCCTCCCCTCCCTTCCCTCCCCTCCCCTCCCTCCCCTCCTCCCTCCCTCCCCTCTTCCCCTCCCTCCCCTCCTCCCTCCCTCCCTCCTTCCCCTCCCTCCCTCCCTCCCCTCCCTCCCTCCCCTCCCTCCCTCCCTCCCTCCCTCCCCTCCTCCCCTCCTCCCCTCCTCCCCTCCCCTCCTCCCTCCCCTCCTCCTCCCCTCTCACCACCTCCCACCCCTCCCTGCCCCGCACCTCCCCTTTCATCACACCCACGTGGGTAGGAGTCTCTCGTTGGTACAACCCCAGAATAAATGATCCTGCGGGACTTGTTAAAAGCCACTCGGCGGTTGCTGCGCGGGGTTTTTTTTTGTACAGCAGCAACAAACAGAAACCGGGCAGCATCTGCGAACTTATAATGATCAAAATCGTTTGAAAAATGTGACGGGTTTCTCTTTACCCCCCTCCCCTCCCGACCGTTGCTTTGTAACAATTAAATTGTCATCTTTACATACGTCCGCTTCGCGTTTGGTTACAGCGAGTGGGAGAGAACACACACACACACTTACTGGCTTGTCGTTGGCAGTGAATGTATGCATTATTTTATTATTTATGTGCATATATCTGCCATATATTATATACCATATGTAGTATTACACATATGCAAAAAGCCATGAACTGAAACGTGTAATATGTATTGGGAGTAATTAGGATTTGTACAGGTTCATTACAAACGAGATACTCGTTACCATAGAGTTCACTGTGTATTTTGGGTTCCAAGTCGGTTGCTCAACAGTGAAGCTGATTCATAATAGGTTTAAATGTGTACTTAACCCAGTCACCCAACTCAGCCAACCAGTAATGTTCGTCACGTAAACAAAACGTGACAATTAGTTACTGCTTCAGCCCATCGGTGTGTTGGGAGAGTAAATCTTCAACATTTGCAATTTGAGTACCGTGATGTTTCACGAGTACAGTGAAACCTTGGATTTCGAGCATTATTCGTTCTGGAAACGTGCTCGCAATCCAAAGCACTCGTATATCAAAGCGAATTTCCCCATAACAAATAATGGAAACTCAGACGATTCGTTCCACAACCCAAAAATACTGTATTCATATAAAAATGATTAATACAAAATACCTTTTTATATTTTTTATATTTAAATTTAATATAAAGTAAGAAAATGTATTAATTACATTTAATCGTGGCTGGTGTGAGGGAGACGAGAGAAAGGAGGGTTATTGTGCAGGGCGACTTTCACTTGCAGTACAGTTACTAAAGAACAGTCACTACACTTGGACACAAAATAAAAAAAATGCTTTACGCACACACGTGGTCACAACACTGTAGTAAACAGTATACACGTGGTCACAACACTATAGTACTGTGGTAAACATTATACACGTGGTCACAACACTATAGTACTGTAGTAAACAGTATACACGTGGTCACAACACTATAGTACTGTAGTAAATAGTACACACGTGGTCACAACACTATAGTACTGTAGTAAACAGTATACACGTGGTCACAACACTATAGTACTGTAGTAAACAGTATACACGTGGTCACAACACTATAGTACTGTAGTAAACAGTACACACGTGGTCACAACACTATAGTACTATAGTAAACAGTATACACGTGGTCACAACACTAGTACTGTAGTAAACAGTATACGCTAGCACAGATGTTGACTATACGAGTGAGGCACGCCGACTGAGACCGAGCATGGGAGATGATTACCCACAATCCCGCAGCGAGAGAGAGAGAGAGAAAAGAACCATTGGCTCAGTTGTGATCACGTGACACTCAGTAGACAAAGCGTTATGCTGTACACGTACTGCTCGTATTGCAAGACATCGCTCGTTTATCAAATTATTATTTATTTAAACAAATTTCTCGTCTTGCAAAACACTCGCAGACCAAGTTACTCGCAATCCAAGGTTTCACGAGTAATTAAATCCAGCATCATCGGGCGATTTCGCCAGAATTGTGAAGAGATCTACCTGCTTCTGGTCTTAAATAGGACGCAAGATGACGTCATCACCTGTGAGCCAATCAACTCGCAGCGAGGCCGAACACACCGTGCCTTTTCGTTCTTGCGGAAAATGCCCCCCCCCAAAAAAGCCAAGGGCCCTGCCCTCACTCCGTCTCCAGTGAAATGAGTCCCACGCTCCTCACCACTTTGATTCTGGTCCCGATGCTCCACCATCATCGTTGCCCTTTGGGGGGAACTGCCCGGGTTTTGATTTAAACCAAAACCTATTGGCTCGATGGTGACTTAACTCCTACAGAGCTGCTCATGCGATTTTTAAAAAAGGCTCGTTTGCTTAGAGCAATGGCGCATTCACCTCCAAACTCAAAACTCTCATCGCCCGTAGAGTACCGACCAATGTAACTAAGTATTTATGTTGAAATTATTTTGCACCGTACGTAGCCAACCGTGATAATCAGAAGTGTGGGGGAAGGACAACATACTAAACACAAAACGCAGTTCTAAATAAATTAGTTTTTAATCGAAATTTAAAATTGCATAGCTCCAGTGGCTTCCTGATATCAGAAGGAAGAGCGTTCCAGACGGCCGCAGAAGCACATCTGACCGTCTTTGTTCGATGGCTAGCCAAAAGCCGCTGCGAGGATAACCAGAGTGTGTGTGTGTCAGTGTCACAGTTATATATTTGAGCTCGAATCGCCCTCACAGTCTCTCTTGCAGTCCAGCTGAGAGGGCACCGAGGCTTCTTGCACAGAAGTGAATGCCGCTGTTCGTTGCAACTCGTTCAGTTTCCAA